AAAAAAAAAAAAGATTAAAAAAGGGAGACTATAAATGGAGGTATGCACAGGGTGACATGAGACACACCTGGTACTCAGGAACATTCCCTTAAAAAATACACAGGGGAAGGAAGCTGTGAGAAGCCCCTGTAAGTATTGGTGGGCACTTGGTTCTTCTGGCAAGGGGGTCCCACTTTACAGCAGTTCAGAGAGGGTGAAAGCCTGCCCTATTTCCAGGATAGTGGAAAGTGCTCAAAAGTTCTAACTAATAATTCTTCAACAATGTAGCATCATATGTAACAGATGGGAGCATCAGTACCCTTACTGTCCACATACCTTCTGGGCAATCATGTTGCAGATCTCGGGCAGGAAGTCCTCACTGAGCAGCTTATAGAGCTGCCGTTCTCGAAGGGAAGTCCTCTCTCGAAAGCTCTCAGTGACCTGTCTCCATTCTTCTTCTGTTTGGCAGAGCAGCCACCAAGTGCCTTGGCCTGGCCCTTGGGATCCTAAGGAAGAAAGGGACAGAGTCACTATAACAGATCCCACTAGAACCTTTTTCCTATAGATCCTCAATTTTATTTCTACCCTGAGTCATAACTAGAACAAAGGAGTCAGAAAAAAAGACTTATTAAGGAATGCCTAAAGATAATACAGATATAACTACTGTAACTTTAATAAACAGATTTTAATATCCTAGAAATACTTAAAGGCATCCACTTTTCTTATTTTCTGAGATAAGAGTCTCACTCTGTCACCCTGTGTAGAGTGCCATGGCATCATCATAGTTCACAGTAACCTCAATCTCTTAAGAGTCAAGCGATTCTCTTGCCGCAGCCTACCCAGTTACATGACGCCTGGCTAGTTTTTTGTCCCCCTATTTTTAGTAGAGAAGGGGGTCTCACTCTTGCTCAGGCTGGTCTCAAACTCCTAAGCCCAAGCAATCCTCCAGCCTTGGCTTCCCAGAGTGCTAGGATTACAGGTGTGAGCCACTCCACCCAGCCTATGTATCTACTTTTCTACATAAACATTTTTGAGTTTGAGTCTTTGCAGAGTCCACTATGTCTCACTAACACTGTAATACTGTAAATTGGTATCCCCTGAACACCCACAATTTATGCTATTTGGATCACAGAATTAAAATCTAGATAGAAAACCAGTATTTGGCACTGGCCATAAAACCAAAAATGCACTGACATTACAAAGTCAGCTCTTTGACAAGCTGCTCATTCATCTGAATGCTATTACCCTGTGCCTTGCTAACAGGGCACTAGTAAGAATTAGTCCTAATCTTTTTTCTTTTTTTTTTTGACACAGAATTTCACAAATAACATTACCATTTCTTGTCTGTGACTCAGATGCCAAGGAATTTTCTTCCTGCTTTTCACTGAAACACAGGAAAAGTAGGCACCAATTAAAACAAAGACATATCCAAAACTGTTCTATGCTTCCCCTAGAAGGTAAACCAAATTAAATTTAAGGTAGGGGGAGGAGGAGAAAGATTGGATGTCAAGGGGGTGAGGTAAGGAGAAGGAATAATTTTACTACATAAATGAGCACTGAGATGTCAGCATGTTTGTGTAGAAGTAAGTACTGACAAAGCTGCTCGTTGTTACTGTAATGACAATGTGTAAGAAAATATGAACTTAAAAAACTTCTTTTGGAAAATCAAGCAGATGAGTTAAATGTTAGTAGTTAAATGTTAAGAGAAGTTGAGGGATTCCAATGCCCTCCTCGCTCATTCAGGGCCACAGTAAAGATAAGCATATTTAATTTGACCTTATATGAGATAGAGGTTGTAAGTCAGAATGCCTTTTTTCTTTTTTTTTGCAGTTTTTGGCTGGGGCTGGGTTTGAACCCGCCACCTCTGGCATATGGAGCCAGTGCCCTCCTCCTTTGAACTACAGGCACTGCCCCAGAATGCCCTTTTCAACATGTACCACTTACAACATGACCCTGGGAAAGTTATTTAACTTTCCCTAAATAGGGCCATTCACGGCACCTACCTCACAGGAACGTTTGAGATGAGATTACAAAATGTAAAAAGGAGTAACACAATAGCATTAAGTATCATTTTCATTTGCATCCCTGCAACAGAAAGGAAACTCTGGATATTTTGTTTTCAAATATGTATCTAAGCAGTACTCTTCAATCCAACTTTCTGGGAGAATAAAAATATTCTATATTAGTGCTGTTCAATATAGTATCCACAAGTCACAGAGACTACTGAGAAATTAAAACATGTATAATGTGAATGAGAAACTGAATCCTAAATTTTATTTAATTTAACAATACTGAAACATTGCATTAAATACATAGCTATAAAGGAATAAAATCACCAGTAGAGGGTAGCATAAGTCCAGGTATACTTGTTAAAATGATTGTTATAAGGAAATGCAGATAGATTTAATACAACTTTCTGAATAAAGAATGATGCATGGAATGGTAAGAAAATCCAAATACAAATGGTATGTATATGGAACACAAGTAATTATAGGACACTTCTCACAGGAGGTAATAGCTATGATCTGAAGTCAAATTTCTGGAAAGTAGAATGCTGATCAAATTTAGAAATCAAATTGTGATTGATCTATAATCATCATCTTATCTCCTACTGCTTAAGAAGCAACACACTGAAATCTAGCCTAATTTAAGATTAGATTGAGTAGTTTAAATAAAGGAATTTGTTCTGTATTATTAGAATTTTTAAGACTACAACCTCACTTCAACAGGTTTATAATGATAGATCTGATCCTTAAGTATCAAGATTTACATGGTGGAACTTCCTAAAAGATAATGACATCCAAAATAAAATTTTCCAATTACATGTATAACAGAATCTTTTTCCTTTGGTAAAATAAAGATATAAATAAAACAGCAAAACAAAAGAACAAAAAGG